GCGGTGGGGCCGAGGGCGCGGGGCGGGAAGCGGAGGGTGCCCCCGGGTCTGACAGGGGAACCAGGAGGGGAGCGTGGACGGAAGGAGCCCGCTGGTGAACGGGGGTCACCCACACCCGGGGCGGAGCCGGCTGCCTGCAGGTTCGTGGGCGTGGGGTGTCCGCTGAGGGTGCCAGGGGCGCGGGGGTTTCTCCCTTGGAGAAAAGAGGGAGGGACAGTCGGGTCTTTTCCACCATAAGTGCAGCCCAGCTGTGCGCCCAGGGCAGCTGAGGGGCGCTGCCCACACCTGGAGGGGACAGTCCTGGCCAGGGCACTGCGGGTCTGCCCGGGAGGCACCCAGGGCCCGTCCTTCCCCTGCCCCCGGAGTGTGCAGGGCCGGTGGCCCAGGTTCATGCAAATGGCCTGCGCCCAGGCCCCGGGCCCTTCCTCGCAGACGGGGCTCCTGCCGCCCGGTTGTGAACGGCCCTCGGGAGTGTGCCGAGCGTGAGGGGTGGCCGTCCAGGCGGGGCCCCCGCCCCGGGTGACTGCTGCCCAGCCTGGTGGCCACGGGCAGGGCCTCTGGGAGCAGCTGTCTGGACGGGCTCTGGGTCCCGTCCACAAGTCATGCAGTTACCTGGTGTCTCTTTGCCTCAGTTTCCCCACCTACGCTCCAGGGGACCTGCACCCCCTCCAAGGGGCATCGTGAGGTTAGGTGAGAGGGTGACACAACCAGTGAGTCCTGAGACAGATCTGTGGTCTGGTTACAGACGCGTCCACCCACAGATGAGAAGGTGAACAGGCCTGAGCGCAGCTTGTCTTGAAAGAAAACCACAGCGTGTGTTGTGCGTGTTAAGTCAGGAGTTTATTGGCGAGGCCGGGGTACCAGGCCGGGCCCCTCACTCCTCCTGATAGGGGACGTGGAAGCCCAGGGTGGCCCCCAGCGGGAAGTGAGCAAAGAAGGTGCGGGCCATGTCCTCGAGCTGCGGGTAGGCGCCCATCGTCTGGAAGTACTGCACGTAGTTCCAGAAGTCGGAGGTGGAGAAGGGCCAGTAGGGCATGGCCGGCAGCTCCGCGTAGGGGTCTGGAGGGCACAGGACAACCGGGCTTGGGGCTGCGCTGCTGGTCCTGCCGAGGCCGCTCCTCCCCAGGGGCCTCCGGCAGGTGGAGGGGCCCAGCAGTGCCGGCGAAGGGAGGGAACCCTCCCGGCAGGAGCACAACCTGGGCCATCCCAGGGCCTCCTGGAGCCTGGTCATCCAAGGAGCAGTGGGGGATGACCTGGCCCTGCCCTGACTCCTGTGAGGGGCACAAAGGCAGGGAAGGGAGGAGGGGAAATCTGGCCCCTGGGCTGGACATACTGAGCAGGGAGGAGTCACTGTGGTGGGGATGTGGGGGAGTCCTGGTGGGATTTCAGAGGAGACCCCCAGCCCTGGAGTCTGCACGTTACTGCACCGAGCTGGGACTTGGGTCTGAGGGTGGGAATGTCAGTGTCCTCAGGGGCTCAGAGGTCCCAACACCATGCAGAGTCCAAATCCAGCTCCCTCCTGCCTGGTGTGTCCCCAGGGGCCTGGAGGGCACAGTCTGGGGAAGGGGTTCCAGTCCCTCTGTGGGCACCGGCTCCACCTCCAGCAGAACCAGGGCTCCCCTTCATCTTGTCCACCTGAGAATGCGAAGCAGCACCCACCAAGCCCCTCTTCCCCCCCCACCCCACCGAGAGGAGAAAAGAAACCGAGGCAGATGAAGTACCTCCCTCGTCCTGCACAGGCTTGGCCCCTGCAAAGAAGGGAACAGTCACCCAGGAGAGCTCAGGGCAGGACCCGCCCTGTGCCGGCTGTTCCCAGGGGCATGAAGAGGCAACGCAGCTGCTCACCCGCCAGGGGCCCCAGCAGGAGGCAGAGGGCCACCCCGGGCAGCAGGCAGGTCTTCATCTCCCCCGGGTGCTTCGCCACAGACTGACTGACGGCTCGCTCAGGTCCACCTGCAGCGGGAGGAACCAGAGAGGTGAGGCTGCCCACCCTCGGGCCCCAGCTCTTCCCGCCACCCCCAGAGTGGCAGCTCCTGGAAAACAGCTCCGGAGGAAAGACCATCCTGTGTTTCCACAAGCGTCCAGTGTCAGCGGCTCCCGGCCGTTCTCCTGAGGCTAAACCCTGTCTCGTTGGCCTTACTTAACTTTAGCAACTTAAGAACCTGCACCCCCATCGGCTGCCCTGTCGGGGTTACCTGACTGCTCCTGTCCCTCAGCCTCAGCCCGAAGCACACAGGCCCCCTTTATAAAAGGCCGGGGCCAGGATGGAGACGTCACCTTCGGGAACCGTCACACTGAATTTATTTCATCTCCCTCCAGGGGACTGAGGGCCTCTGTGACCTGCTGGCAGCGGAATCCCACGCGTCCACTTTTGGAATCTGACCCAAAGATGAAATTGGTAGAAAAACATCTTTGTACAGGCCCCTCCGGAAGGCGTTAGGAATGAATTCGACACCGGTGCTTGCAGAAACCCGCTCCCTCTGCGCCAGGGGAGGGACGCTCGGAGTCTCTGAGCCCGACACTGGGGTTGAGATCCCCCCTCAGGGGAGCAGGGTGATCACAGAGCTGCCCCCGGGACAGGGGGGCCGGGCAGGGCTCCCACTGCAGGCAGGAAGTGGGGGTGCCAGCCCGACCTCGCGGCTGCAGGCTAGCGCCTTCCTGCTTACGTGAGCACAGTGACTGACCTGCCGTGGGGAGGGCAGCCGTCCCTGTCCCGGTCACTGTCGGCCGCACCAGGGGCCTCTGTGGGTCAGGCCATTCTGATTATACCGTGATGGTAGCCATGCCTCATGGCCCTGCCCCCAGGGGTCCCGTCGCCCACTGAGTCTAGGGGCACGTCCAGGGCAGCAGTCCCCCCCGTCAGTGCGAGTCACCCAGAGGGCTGCAAGGGTGCCGGGACCGCCTCACCCACCTGGTCCTCGCAGCCAGTGCTCGGCGTGTGGGGGACACGGTGAGGGGTGGCAAGCAGGTCCTAGGAGATAGATCCGTCCAGCACACTGGGTTCCCCAAGCCTTTGGGCACCTGCCCCTTGCAAGACAAGCATTTCAGGGGAGACTACGCAGGTCCTTTAGGTTGGGGGACTCACCCCCCAGACAGGGCAGAAGGGCAGCTTCTCTGGGCAAAGGAGGCTCAGCAGAATTTAGGGGTTCAGGTCCCCAGCTTCATCAGAGTCTGCCCACAGGTCCCCATCCAAGTGAAAAATGAAAATAAAATCACACGTACTATGTCTTTATTTATTTCGTGAAAACTAGACCTAGAGAAATGAGTAGTGAGCAGTGACGGGGGAGGGGGGAGCCACGCACAGCTGCTGTTCCTTCTTTCTGGGTGGGTGTTATCCTTAATTAGTAATTAATGCAGGGAAAACGCTTTTACAAAACCACCACCGGTAGCCCCCTCCTCCTCAGCATCCTGACCTGCCACCCCGGGTCAGCCTCCTCGGTCTTCCACAGCCACTGCCCCCCACGTCCACCCCATGCCTTTTCTCTCTTCCTGAGCCCATCGTGCCACTCTCCCTTGCCGGCCTGCATGCAGACCTTCCCTTGCCCACCTGGAGGTCCCCACCTGGAGGTCCCCACCTGGAGAACCTCACCTGGACGTCCCACTGGANCCACCTGGAGGTCCCCATCTGGAGAACCTCACCTGGACGTCCCACTGGAGGTCTGCTCCTCCACTCCCTGGGGGAAGCCCCTTTGGCCCCTGACCCAGCAGCCTTTCCTCAATGCCCCTGCTGGGGCTCCACACACCCAGCCTTGTATTGATCTTGCTCATTGGGGATCTTAGAACCAAGGATTGCACAGGGGTCCTGTTAAAATGCAGGTTCTGACTCAGCAGGTTGGGAGAGAGCCTGGGACTCTGCATTTCTAAGAAGATCCCAGCCCAGGTGACGCCTCTACTGCTGGCCCCCGGAGCACCCAGGATAGTGAGCCTTGGGCAGGTTCTCAACCTGGGCAGTCAGATCTCTTAGGAGACACCTTAGCATGCAGAGCCCTGGGCCCCACCTCAGAACCCCGATTCAAGAGCTCAGGGGTGGGCCTGGGACTGCATTTCTGTCACATTACCGGGCATGCTGAGCAGGTCCAGGGCCAGGCTTTGAGAGCTGCTGTCTAAAGCAGAGGTTCTAACCGTGGCTACAGGGCGGGACCACCTGCCGAGCTTTTAGATCCGGGGATTTCCAGCCCTCAGTCTCCTGAGGTGGGATTCTACTGTAAGAGGTCCAGGCGGGGCCCAGGTTGGTGATTGTGAAATCTCCCAGGTGATTCTGCCCCGAAGCCTGGTTGACTATCACTGCCTGGGGTGGGTCAGGTCCCCTGCTCCCCCAGCCCCTGCCCCCACCTGCGCAGGATCCTCCCTGTGGACGCATGGGAGGCCTCTGAAGGGCCCACCTGCCTGGTGTGAGAAGCACTGGTCTTGGGGAACGGAGTGGACCAAGGCCATCCTGTCTGCTTCCCTCCCCAGCTAACTGGGTCAGCGGTGTGTGAAGGGAGGGAGCCAGGGAGGCTGCCTGGCTCCCTCACCTGCACCAGGTGAGGCCTGGGGCATGTCCTCCGGGAGGCTCGGCAATGCTCCCACTAGGTGGCCTGGGGCGCCCCCTGCTGCCCGGCTCAGGAACACCAGCGGGGCCCCTGCGAGGTCACCAAGAACCTGTGCGGCCTCCTGGCCCACGCTCACCTGGCCGGGTCTCTGGGTCTCAGCCCCAGCAGGGGGCACTGCCCTCCTGCCTCACTGTGTGTCCCAGCCGCTTCCTTTCGGAGCCTGTGGCTCCTCGAGAGTCTCAGGGTGTCCCAGGTCTGAAGCAGCATCTGGCCGCGGGGTGGGCGGGGCCGGTGAGAACCTGGGGGACTGAACCCAGGGGCCAGGTCAGGGCCTCACCGGTTAGCGTGGGAGCCGAGTGCTCAGCCTCCTCACCCAGCTGTCCCTGGGCACCGGCCGGCCCGCCGAGTCCTCTCCCTCCACAGACCCGTGACCGCCCAGGTGAGGGGCGCCTCTCACAGTCACCCGATTCATTCCCAAAGCCACAACCTCCCATCATACTTGTCATTTTAAGAAAGGGGTTTAATTAAATGTCATGACATCTGATGAGCTTGAACAGAGCTTCCGGGTGAAAGCAAGCTGCCCTGGAGAGGCCCTCTCGAGGTGAGACTGCTAGAAGCCACCCCCGCGTCAGGTGCAGGAAGGACGGCTCGGAAGGACCGGAGCCAAAGTCGGAGCATCTGGACGTTAGATCCCTCAGAGGCGGCTTTGAAACCCAAACCCGAAAGCGGGGACGGCAGGCACATCCCGGGAGTGGGCTCCAGGGGGTGCCATTGCCCCAGGGTCCGCGGGGCTGGACACCAAGGGCGGAGCGCCGGAGGAGAGCCGTCAAAGCCGGGCCAGCGAAATGACAGCCCGGCCTCGGAGCCAAAATGTCCAAAGCCCATATGATGCATCTTAAAATTCCCCCCTCTCTTCATCCGACTCGTGAGAATTCCCGACCAGGTCCCAGCTCGGCGGAGATGGATTGCGGCCCGAGGACAGCAGTCTACTGAACAGCTGCTCGGGTTTAAATTAATTGTGGGTTCTCGGCCGCCCTGGAGGGAGCCTGTGTCAGGCCTGCCTCACCCGGAGAGGGAGCCAGCGAGGTCCTGGGCAATGACAGTCTGGAGAACACGGCCTTACAAGGACACTTATCTGGGGAGGGTGACCTGTGGCCCTTGGACCATGGCTTGTGTGCGGGGTGGGCGAGGGCTGTCCAGGAGCAGTGGCCGGCCGGCTCCACCCGCACCCAGCACACCATGTCCGCCGGGAGTGTGGGGAGGGTGTGGGGAGGGCTGGGCTCCACAGCAGAGTGAGGCAGTGGTGGTGGCTGGTGGGGACAGATGCGGCTTCCGAGGGCCTGCAGGGTGGGCTCCAGTGGGGGTGGCTGCCCCGTGTCAGGGCTCAGCGGGGGCTTCCCATCCCGGGGAGATGCCACCCGAGGCCAAGGGCCAGCTCTGTGCCCATCACCATGGGACGATGGGGCAGTGACCACCAGCAGGGCCTGCCCACAGCACTTCCTCCTGGGGGCGGGGAGGAGGCCAGGCCAGCCACAGGCCCCAGGTGACGGGCCTGTCCTTGCCGACGCCCAAGCAGGCATCTGTCTTCATGAGGCTTGCAGGCCCCGAGACCCTGGGACCCACCATGGGGAGGCTCCTAACTCTGGGAGGGAGACCTGGGCTGGCCTGCTCCTCTGTGGCTTGAAACAGGTCCATTGTTCAGCTCTATTCATCACCACATAAAAGCCGGATTTATGGGAACCGGGGCTCAGCGTGGTTCTCAGCCCGGCCGAGGCATCTGGGCTGCAAGGCCCATCCTGCTGCCCTGGGGGCTCCCGGGCTCTCCTGCCCTGAGGGTTCCTGCTGGGCATCGGGCACCAACTGCCCAGCTCCCGTGCCCC